GGTAGTAATACTCGTAGTAGCTTCATGGCACAGAAACCGGGATGAGCTCCAGCTTGATGGGTCACTGGGCTCGAGTGTAGTACCTTTTATTTACAAGTAACTCCGTCAGATTTCCTGAAAGTCTACCGGTTGTAAAAATGAAGTTTTCTGCCTATGAAGTCAACACAGTCCTTTTTGCCTGGCATATTTTCAACAAAAAGGGTAGCTTCGACTTTAGCCACATGGTTTCTCACTATAATATACCCGTTTCAGTAACACTACGCTTCGAGCCAATGGTACAGAAGGTGGTTTATGCAAATCGAGATTAAAATTTATTGCTCGGTTTTGAATGCTTTGGCATAAAACCCTCATGCTTTGGCTAAAATATTAATACATAAGCTAGCATAATTGATATGTCTTGCGATTTTTCATGACAGGAACAGAGACAAGCCACAAGGGAGAATGTTGAACGAAAGCAAGCACGCACGTCCGATGAATTGGAGGTAAATGTTTGCGCTAAAAAATTAATTTTCCATTATATGCGAGTAAAATCTTGCCATTTGGGTTCTTCTTCTACAAAACTAAAATATAAATAAGACCGTTCTTATTTGTGTTTTAACTTTATTAAGCCATCTTTATTAGTGAAATATTTGGCTATTTTCGGTCCGAGTTTCGTAAAAACCTAAACCGAAGTTGTCACACCTTCACCAACAAGAAAAAGGAGAATCTCGCCAGGAGCCAATGAGAACTCGAAGAAAAAACAGGGAACTTATTGAAGCGCGAGAAAACGTGGGTGATTAAGTCACCAATGGTTTTCGTTTTACATCTGATCTGAAAGTCAGTCCAAATTAGTCATGACCATGGCCAGTATGGTCAAGGTTATCCTTGCATGTTCGAACTAAAACGTGGATCACCAAGTCATGATTTGTTTGAATCTGATTTGTTGACAGGGCGTTTGTAGACCAATAACAGTGCACAGTGAAGTAAAACAAGCACAACCCAGATTACATTCTGCTCAGTATAAAATTTCTTCGCAAATTTACAGCATCTTAAATGTTTTTCAACAGGAAGAAGAAGAGCATGAAGAGGGCCACGAGTCAGATTCTGATGATGAGGAAACCGTCCTTTATAATCCTAAAAATTTACCTCTTGGATGGGACGGAAAGGTACCTCCTTTGCCTCACATCTGGGTTGTGCATGATGCTAAACTCTAGACTACTCTATGAACGTACTGACGGTGGTGTTTTCAATGTTTTTATTTTCTAGCCTATTCCATATTGGCTGTATAAGTTGCACGGGCTGAATATAAGCTACAGTTGTGAGATATGTGGCAACTTCACTTACAGGTTTGAGCAACGTGCAATATTTGAAAATCAGTGGACGTTGATTTTTGATTTTTGATTTTATGCGTAGAGGAGTTTTCCGCTGAACATTTTTCTTAATATACCATACAATGTGTCCTACCGAGTTCAAAGGGGTGAAATAGACGTTTTCCACGGCAAGAGTGCACAAGTTGTTCGAGTTAAAACAAAGTTTGTCGGCAGTTATCCCATGTTTACTATATTTTTATCATGTGTCACTTGCCAATATTGGAATAAGAATTTTTGTCTTTTGCTTAGTTAGAATTTAGGAATTTGTCATTGTAGATGTTCCATTTTTAAGGAAGCTAATGATAATATTTGTTCGTTGCAGGGGTCCAAAGGCGTTCCAGAGGCATTTCGCGGTATGATGAATCTCTTTTAGCGTTACTGCAAGCTTTATATTTGCACTAGAGCTCTATGACGGTCTTGCGGTATTTCTTATTTTTTTATGTAATGTCAACGTTCGCACCAAGTTAAGTCGTAAGAAAGGTTAAGGTGCATTTATCGTTAAAAACCAAAACCAAATGAATCACAACGGCCTATCAGAACACGATGGCAACGTCACGTCAAGCCAATGAGATTTCAAAGTGAAAATATGTAACCCGCGTGAAGCGCGCGACGGGAAAAGGCGAGTGATCAAATTACGATTGGTTTTACATGTTATTGTTATAGATTATGGCGCGAGTTTTCTCGACCAATTAGAGAGACGATGGGGAAAAATCATTACAATCCATGATTTATACTTTCGACACTAGTTTGAAAATTGAGCCCAGCTGGAAGACTCTATAGCGTTTTATAATTTTAAATTTGTCGTTTATTACATAGGAATGGCGTCACGCACACGGCATGAGATGTCTTGGAATCCCAAATACAGCGCATTTTGCCAACGTCACTTTGATAGAAGATGCTGTTGCATGTAATGATCGATTTCTTCCATCGTTTTTAATGATAATTAATAATTATTTGTAGGGTGCTCATGAACGCTTGTTGCGATGAGTCCATCGCAGTTTACATCGTTTAAACCGTGTGTTTGTGAGTGGTGCTCGTGAGTGAGTGGGGAATAGGGGAACATTTATACAGGAATGCAAAAATGCTAGCGAGACATTGAGGCATAGAGTGTGAGCGTCCGCATCCAGCAGAGTGTATTTTGTTATCTGTACACTCAACCGTAGTACAGTAAAACGTACCAGACCTTTAATTTTGTGGGCTTTAGTAATGGTGAAACATAAACTGCATGGGACTTACTGTCGGAAGCTCTAAGGCGCAGCTCTCTAGCTTGTCAGCTTGGAGATAAGAATCACTATGAAAGACACATACTCTTCTTACTTATACCACAGATGCCTGGGTTTTTTATTAACACTAAGCTGTAGTTGTCCAAAAGTGCCTCATGTTCTTCCCTTATTTTTGCTGTAAACGCAACTTGTTTCTTTTTCATTACCGTTTTTTATTTTTTATTTTTTTTATTTTTTATCACAGTATGGCATAAGTTGAAGGCTGTGAAGGCCAAAGAACGTTGGCTTCCTGATCAAGAGGTAAATTCGTCCAAAGTTTCGAGTTTTGCTGACTTTCCTGTCTGTCCGTTGTTTAGTTACGGAAACTCCTTTCTTGGTAGATGCAACCACTGTTTTGATTCAGTGAAATTGGTATTGATAACATGCCCACATATGGTCTTTTTTGGTTGTGGTATTTTTATTTCTAAGACACACACAGTGGCAAAGGAACACTGAAGCGTCATACGACGACCCCTTATGCTAACTGGTGTTTAGGCGTGTATTTCATGACCGATTCCGCCGGGTGATCTGTGTGATTATTGAACTTGAGAAGTTATTTATTCGTGCGATAAGACATTGGACAGAAAAGAAATTTTCACCTTATTTCTCTTGAGAAGTTTTTCGAAAGCCTCCACTAAATTCACCTAGTCTTCGTGGTTCCCATTCGAACATTTTAATTGTGGTGAGTGTTTAATCTTATGGCAGAGTGAAGTAACTTTTGATAATTTGAAGATGATCGAGTGATGACTTGGTCTGCTTTCCACCTTTCCTTTGAGATGTTATGAAACGCTTAGCCCGTGACATCTCAAAGAGCAACAGCGAAGGGGACTGGTGATAACGAGCGATTGCAAGGTCTTAATCACCTTACTTTGATTCTGTTTGTAGGAAGAATACGAAGATTCTCTTGGAAATGTTGTAAACAAACGGACGTTTGAAGATCTGAGTCGTCAAGGATTGTTGTGAAGATGTCACATTCCTCGTTTATTTCTCCTATTCTCAAAATTTGTATTTTTTAACGTAACGAAGCAGTGTCATTCTCTTAGTTGTTTGGTGTGCATAGCGATAAACACTTTTATTTCATGGAAATTCATCTTATGTGTCAAGTAACTTACAAATTACGACTGTGAAATGTAACACTTTTGCGTGGTCTAAAGCAAGATAAAAAAAGCTTCAATTATTACATGTAAGTGGTGATTACACAAACTGTGTCTGGAACAACACTCAAAAGACCTTTTAATTCAGTGTTACAAAGTAAAAAGCAAATGCTTTTAATCTTGCGCCGAATTCGAGATCTTCTTGGATTCACTTGTTTTGATAATGACATAGTCTTGGTGGAAAACTCCCCTCACTCCGTCACACGTGCCCTACGAAGAAATTAAGATATTTTGTGTAAAAGAATTATTGATGGTGCTGTTAAAGAAGGGTTTTGCGCGCCCTAGTTATGCGAAATTTTGGATGACATTCCTCGAGTCACCGACATTCTGGTCTTCTTTCTTTCAAAATGAAATTCCATGCCTTCTGGACACGAACACGCGTTTACAACTACTCTTTCTTGATGTTAATGAAGCTGGAAAAAAAAATAGGTCAGCGAGAGAAAAAATTGTCATACAAAACTTTGCAATTCTCTACCGCTTGCTTGCTTCTTTCCTTAGTGGGCGATGAAAAAAGAAAGACGAGAATAGGCATTGATCGCGTGTGATAGGATGCCAGTATCAAAATGTAACTTTGGGAAGGTAATTTAAGCTTCTGACTTGCTTGGACCGACGGATTCTTTCCTTTATCAATGTGCCTCCAGATTTCTGACATTGGCTGAATCAGCTTATGCTGATCTGACATGGAACGTTTGGTGCAGTGTGGGAAAGTGCAAAGTGCACTTGATAACATTTCAGTTTGTCCAATTTTTACCTCGTACCACCCCTCCTTGTCGTCGACTCTAACAATATCTTGCACGATCTGTCCCTTTGCTAAACAAAGCTCGTTGTCATTGGTTGGTTCATAAGATGTATGTATGTAGCCATGAGAATTCCGTCGCCAGAATCTTTCGACAGTGATCCCTGAAAAACAAGGAAATAATTATGACGAGTGGGAATTTGTTTGCTAAACTGCAGAGAGTAAAGCTTTGAGACTGGGCCTCTAAGATGCCCTGTGACACAAGTTATTTCCAGATCACTGTGGGTTACGAGATGTTCGAGTGAGCCTGAAATAACAGATCCCTTGTCACTAATTTTAGTCCCGTAGATACTGTGAGCTCTAGAGAGCCTACAACAAAGTAATAACAACGGCCAATCAGAAGACAGGAAAAATACTTCAAAGAGGCAATAAGAACTAGACACTGAAGACAAAAAGTATTGCATCTGATTGGTTGAGAGAGTGGCGCGAGTTTCCTTGAACAATCAGAGCGAAGTGGAACAAAACCAATGAAATCTTGGATTACTTTGGACACAATTGAAAATTTCTCTTAAAGCTTGAAGATAACGCCTTAGGAATACTACCTAGATATCTCATTTCAATTGCGAGTCGTGGAACCAAACTAAAAGTAATCATAACCAATTAGAAGAAAGAAAATTAGCATAAGGAGCCGATGGAAACCCGAAGAAGAATTCAGGAAACTGCCTCGAGCGCGGGATAGGAAAGGTGAGAGATTATCTCAAATTTTTAAGGCCAATCGTTCAAAGAAGTGAAGCAAACTCAATGCAATTTCGGATTACTTTGGACACCCGATTGAAAATTGCTTTATGAGGATGTCAGTCCCTTGTCTTTTAGAGGAGTATGCGTCTATTGCAATACTTACAAAGTGTTTTGAACGTTTGACTCACGCGCCCTACACTTCCAGTCCCGGCAATGAAACAACTCCATATTATCAGCAGCCAGCCAATCAGAAGGGTGAAACCCATCACCCCCAAACCCTGATTGGTCAGTTAAGAAACCAGTTCTACTCAGTGAAGAGGAGATGATAAGATTACTTCATCTCGTCTCGGAGGCAGGCATTAACAATTAATTTCTGTGAAAATTGATCTTGGAGTCAATTTGATTCTAGGTAACGATTAATTCTCTGAAATAATCAGGCCCTTAAATTTGACAAATTGTATCGACTAACTCACAGATTAAGTGAAAGTGAATCGGGCCTTCGCTGTATCGAACTAATGTTATGTTAGATTTTGAGTATTTCCTCTCCATCTGGATGATTTTTACAATAATGTCGTGAGAAATTCCGTCGAAATGAAGTGTTTTAAGGTGAAGGATACAGCTTGCATGAGGGCTCTTTGATAAGCCCTCTTTGATTTCTCGATCTTTACATTACACCAGTCGTAGATATACCGCAAGTCTTTCTTTGGCACATTGTTAGTCTTTGTCTTCCAGCCTTCGTTGCAAACACAAACCGAACCAACGCGCCGGCCGTGATGACAGTTGAGTGGCACCTGTCAATCAAACAAACACTGTCATTTTGATAGATTGTCTCGTGCCTTGAAGTTAAGTTTGGAGGATAAATCGGAAACAGAATACTCAGTAGAGTGTCTTGGAAACACATGGGTTGAAGGCTTCAAGATCAGACTACGCCCTGTTGTCGGTGAGGGCCATATCCAGTCATTATCTCCTTGATAGAGTAATTTTCGATTGCGGGTCAGACTGCATTGGTTTCTTTTTTTAATACGCTATGTGATTGGTCCAAAAATTTTGCGCTAGCCTCTCAACCAATCGCGAGTCGGTTATCCGTGTCATCCCGCCATCCTCTTAAGAAATCATGCATGCATAAACCAAACCGATCATCAGGACTTGCTTCTCTGCGTTTTTCTGCACTCGAGGTTGTTGACATTGTTTCGTTGACCGTTTTTCTTTAACAACCGCTCTGATTACTTTGTGAGATAAAGGGGTTCAAATATACCGGACATTCTGAGAAAATTAAAATTTTCAGCTCACCGGGTTTATTTCTTTGATATCCTCTAAGGTAAACTTCAATTTCGCCAGTTTGCTTCTCTCCATGTTGTCATAGATCTGCTTTTTCTGCTTTTTGGTCAGCGTAGGGCTTACCAGACTTTTGCAGTCATTATAGTCTTTGTCAAATGCCTGTTGCAACGTAAAACAATATCAAGCAAATTATGCCACGCTTTCTTTTAAGTCGCCCTTAAATCCTCCCCAAAATGCGTTGAACAACCCGGGCGAGTGGTCGTGGGCTTGACGCGATGGAAAAGTTTCCCAATGCTTTCTAGTTTTAGTTTTAGTTTTTCGCACGATTTAAGGACTGCGCCTTTCCTCTGCAATACTGCATAAATGACGCACTTACAATTTCAGGTAGCTCTCCTTCCTTGCCCTTTGTGTAGCACTCGTGAATAACTTCACACTTTCCTGTCGAGTTTTTGAAGAAATTTCTCCATCCATTGTACTTCTCAACGCAGTCCACAGGCTCACAATTTTTCCTGGGGTCCTGGTAACAAAAATCATCACGATGTTAGGAATTATCCTCTAAATCAGCAGGTTTCAGACGGTCTTATTCCTATTAAGGTGACTAGATTCTGCTAAATCCTCCCTCTTCTCATTGCGTACTCAAAAAGCATCAAGAAAAAGTCCATCATTAGAACTGTACGGTCATTCCGGTGGATTTAATAGTACCGGAGGAAGAGAAATTGAGAAGACCTGTTCATTTAATTTCCGCTTTTTGAACTTTTTCGACGGTCATCGACAAGGACGGCTGAAAAAGGACGGTAGAAAAATTCAAAAGAGCTTGAAAGCAAGTAATGAAGAAACATAACAAAAGAAGAGTCCAACAAAGGGAATACTTTATCGAAATGTACTAATCACGTGTGTCGTAAAACACATTAATACATTTTTAGTAAATGGGAGTTATTTTCATCTTTTTCGTTAGACCTACATTAACCTTTGAAGAAAGATAAGTGAGACCATACGTAGATTTTTCGATTCGTATTTTCAGTGGACGCGCTTCTAAACTATATATTTCACAACTAGAAAAATCTGGACATCCTTGTAAACTAACCCTATCAACTCCTCGGCATTTTCTGAAACTGTCACCTCCAAACCCGATAACTGTAAAGAAAAAAAGCACTCTCTTTCACTTATCTGATACTTCTTATTTACTTCCCTCTTTGCCTGAAACACAAGGTTTCCGAGTCTGAAAACACTATACAGCTAGAGTGTTGCTATTTTAGGTGAACTATTTTTCAATTAATTGAATGTTATTTATTCGTTCTGCTGTGATGGTTCAGTGACTGGTTGGGAACTGTAACTTATTTTGTAACATATTTGAGGACCTGTAACTCATTTTATTTACTAACCAACTTACTGATGGGTAAAGGGCAAATGTGGAATAGTGTTAACCAATGACTACAAATTGATGCTGATATCCAAATTTTTGAGAAATCTATGACCCTGAGTTTAACACAGGAACTTCAGGAAAATGTCAACATAAAGTTTTGCCTTGGAGACCTAAACTCAAACAAGAGCTCTATCCAACATGATTCTAGGTAACAAATAATTCAAATTCTGTTTCACTCTAACCATATGAATAAATCAGGAAGAGATTTACCATCTAACCAAGATTTTTTCTTTGGTTCTGTGGTATTAAATCTGACTCTGTGTCGAAGCTGTTTCTCCCCAGCCATGAAGGTAAAGTCACAATTTCCAATTCTGTCCATTGGGTACTGTTGTGAGACAGGGCAAAGAGTATTCATCACATTGTACAGGGCAGTTTCTTCAGATATTTCAGTAGAGCTTATTGTTACCTTCCCATCTCCAGTGACTTTATTATCAAGCATTGCTTCTAAAGGCACTTAAAATACTGAACAAGGCTTAAAAGAGCTAATTTTCTCTGATTGGGAGGTCGATTCCAAGCCAATAACTTACATCAAAACAACAAAATTCAAGTCAACCTAGGGCAGACTCTCAACCAATAAACATATCAAAAAATTGAGTGAAGTCTTGCCTGACCCTTTAATTCCCAAGATCTCATTAGCGATTCTCTTTGCTATCTGTCACATAATTCTTATGATGTTAGTTCTGAGAATTTGGTATTGGATCAACTAATAATCTTCTAGTATATATGTTTCTTTATCCTCATCACTTGCCTGCTTAATATTGTATTGGTATAGTAAGGAGAAATTCTGTCTTGGTCACTTGTGGGAGTTAAAGGGTTCATGGATGATTTTGTGTTTGTGTGGTGCTTTGTGTCCCTTATCACCAAGTCACACAACACCTGATTGATGTACCTCTACATTAAATTATTTGTAAAATCGACTTTTGATCCTTCTGTGTGAATAAGAAAAAACAGGTAAACAAGTAAACATTCATCAGTGAGGAACTTACTTTGTTTGGAAATACATACGAGATATTTTCGCGTTTCAGTGATGGAAGCTGTATTTCATTGCCACCTATAAGCTCCATGGACTGATAAAAAAAATAAATGAAAAATAGTTAACAGATATTTGAAGTTGTATCCTATCACTCATCAAAGAAACGGTTTTCTCAGAGGTTTTATAAAAATATTCCAACCTTACAATCTAGGTCGTTTTTGTCAACTTGCCAACAACATCTCGGTTTTTTCGGGGTTATTGTGAGAGTTTTCTTCGCATCGTTGGCAAGTGTTATGTCTGAAGAGAAATAAGATACATCGTGACAAAAACACATCACATGATCGCGATAAATCTTCTCTCATTTCAAATGGATTGCAAACGAAACAGAGTCACTCGACGTTTTGTGTAAGTAAGGCCATGATCAGTTTTGTAGCTACTTACAGAATTGGATTCCAAAACTTTTAGGATTTACTGGAAAGACACCCGAACGCTGAAAAAAAAATTACTATAATAAGAAACATTTTTCGGTGGGGAAATTAACCGTATTACTGGTACGGAATAATTCAAGCAACTGGCGATGGTTAATCATCAGGGATCATGTCAATAAAGGATCATGTCAATAAATGAAGACCCAAACCGCAAAATTCACGATTTGCAGAAATCGGGAGTTCACTTCTTTCCAAAACGATGAAATAATCTCATTCTTTCACCAGCTGAAGTTTTCCGATTAAAGATAGGCCTCTGAATCAAAAGCATATATAGCTTAGCCTGTGTTAATTCTTAGCGGCTGTTTGAACAATAATGAACTTACACGTTACCGCTTACCTCTACATGAATTTTACCTAGTATTTGTGAAAGAAAGCAGAGCCAAAATATTCGAAACACAGTTTTCATCTCTCTAACGTTCTGAGCATTGAAGAAGAAACGTAAGCTGTGAAAATGAAAAGTTTGCGAGGTTTTTTCCTTCTCGTTTAACACTCTGTACTTCACGCGCCATTCTCGTCCCCAGAGCCAATCGTTTCTCTTAGTTGGGGTAGGCTCTGAGTACGAGGGATGCATGGATTACGTCTTTGCAAAATAACTCAGGTTTACCTTCCTCTTCCCTCACTTTCCTTTCCCCACCCCCAAAATGATTGTATTCATATCGCTGTTTGAACAAGCGAAATGTTCTCAGCTCTCCGCTTCCCCCCAAATGCCCCAGAGCTCTCTTGGCTCCAATTATCGTGGCACATTTGAATTGTAATAGATAATGAAAGGCAATGGGGGCTTCAGATTCATGTTGGACATTTTGAAGAGTCTAGATAGTAAGGTCAAATCCTAAAATTGATTATTTAATCTGCTTACTTTGCAGCACTTTTGTAATGTGGCTAGCTTTATGGCCTGAATTCCAACTGAGGTCAACCTCTTAATTAAGAGCACAGGGTTGGGTAAAGAGATTACTGACTCTGGGTCTTTTAGGGGGCTAAGAACCATTTTCAGGCTCAAATAACCAGACGGATACCTTTATTATAATCATCCTTGTTGGGGGTTGGGGAGGAGGGGAAGGAAAAAAAATAAATTAAAGGAAGGAGAATGAAAAGCAACAAAGTTGACAAAGACATGACAGAGATGGTTTTTTTATCATTATGGGGCTGGTTCCATCATTGACTACTTCTGTAACCAATCATAAAAATCATGCAAGGCAAACAATTAAAAAGGAAAAATTGGCAAAAAAAAGTGTGTTATTTATTGAATAAAAAAGTTTATGTCATACCAAATATCAAAGACATGTGGCACTGACATGGAAAAGTTTTTCATGATGAGAAAAAAGCTGCAGACTTGCAATTTATTGAATTCGTTTTCAGTTCTGTTTATTTTCTAAATACCTAAATTGCTATTTTTGTTGTTGCTGTTGTTGATGTTGATTATATTCATCCTCTAAAGAAGGTTCATTCTGCTGATTGACTTGTTCTTCATTTCCTTGTACACCCTCAGAATTAGATTCTTGCTGGCTTTGTTCTTGATGTTGTTCTTCTTGTTGCTCCTGTTGGTCTTCCTGTTCATGTTGTTCATTCTGTTGGTTTTCCTGTTGAGGTTGGTGTTGCTGTTGATCTTGTTCTTGGTTTTCTTGTGGTTTATTTTCATCCTGTTCCTGATTATGCTCTGAAGACTGTTGATTTTGTTGTCGTTGATTAAATTCTTGCTCTAGAGATGATTGTTCCTGTTGCTGTTCTTGCTCTTCCTGGGTTTCTTGTTCTCCCTCCTGAGGCTTGTCCAGGTCTGTCATGAATGAGTTTACTTTTGAGTTCATCAGCTCAATAAAATCAATCATACCATCATCATCTCTGTCGTGTTTCATCAGAAGTTCATCTACAATGGTTTCTGCTTCATGCTCAAGGAACATGCGCCCTCCTTCTTTGAATTCACCTTTGCTATCATCTTCTGTGTGAAAATCTGTCAGTGCATTCATCCATTCTAAGCCATCTAGCTTTTGATTGTCATCATAATCATGAAGCTTGAAGAAATAAAATATACCTGCAGACAATAATAATCATAATGTTAACCCTTCCTTGCTGTTCCCCTTTTTTGCATACATGCATGCATTACAAGCATTACTCAGGGAAATCTGCCATCATGCCCACTGCTAAAATCCATGGTTTACTTTTTCACTCATAATCTCAAATTTTGAGCATCCTTCCAGGTGTATCTTGTGGTTAATGCACTTCTACATTGTTGGTGCTTTATTCTGGTTCTCTTTTTTATTGATTTAGTATTGGGTATCATGATAAGGACCTATTCCTTGTTTCCTGTGTAACAGAGACAACAAAAAACAACAACAGCAAAAAACATACAAGAACTTGGAATACTCAGAGTCATCCTTCAATAAACTAGATAGTTCTCAAGGGGAGTAGGAAAAGTTTTCTTGTGGAGGGTTTTCAAATGCAATGTTGCTGAATCCTTTAAACCCACATAGTAACCAGCATCCAGTTTCTTCTAACAGTAACACTTCTTAATCATTCATTAAGATCACGAGAATAAAAGAAATGGTTGTCAATCCATGAGGCTTTGATTATCAGAAACATTCTCCTTATCAGTGCCAATGGAAATGTGTAGAGAAGAGTATAGAGAATATCAATACTGTTGTTACAGTGTAAAGGGTTACAATTTGGTCTCAACAGTACCTTTAGAATTGTCACCATTTTGCACATCTTTTATTTCTTGGTCTTGTCCAGTTACTTCCCCTAAGTGTTTTTTTATATGTCTGCAACATAACAACAGCAGGTATGAGAAAACAAGAAGCAAAAGGGAAGGAAGGTAATATGAAACAATAATTATTGTTGAAATGCTACAGGGCAATTGTATTTCCTGGGAAATATGTTTTCAACTGAGTCTATATTTTTCAAATCAAGTTTTAATTTACAAAGTAGATTTTAATGCTTTCTTGTGTAGGAGCCTTTAACAATATGAAAAAATTCTAAAAATAAAAGTGAAATACCTCAAACCTTCTCCATCCAGATCCATTCTGTCAGCTAGATGAGCAAGTAAATGTCTAAAATGATGGAATTGATAAATTAAGTAAATAATTACTTTTTTAAAAGACAGCTTCTAAATGGTTCAGCCATATCACTGTTGACAGCAATCAGAGTTCTGAAATTGAAGTAGCTGAAGAGTAGAGAGAAGTTGCTAAAAATGCCTGGGGTGTGTGTTTGATGGCTCTTTTTCCATGATCCCCAATTATGTACTTTGGCATAATGTGGAATAGGTGTATTATCATTTATGCAGCTGTTTTACAGAATAAATATGGGAAAGAAAACAGACTTTTCTAAAATTAATTCCTCATTCAATTTAACTTGAATATTATACACACCCGCTCTCAACAGTCAGCTTTGTATCAACATAATTTACTGATTAAACAAATTTTTTTCAATAATCTTA